TTCAACACCTCTAGTTTTGACTTCCTAAACTTTTCTCATCAAATCATACTTCTTGAATAATATCTTCTAATCCTAACCTCTCCGATTACTTCTAATTCCCTTACTACCCCTACTACTATTGGATTTGAATTGACAATTATATCTCTGTGCTGATGTGGTATGGCAACATGAACTGATGTACTTACGTACGAAATTCTACGTTGCATCTGACTGACTGACATAGAAAACCACTTCTCTAAAAGCATTATTTTAAATTCAGCAATGTTATTGGTAATAAAATGTGTTTGTTTTTTTCTTATTTTCGCTTCTCAGATGATGATCAAATGTGGTTTTTGGGATATTTTAAATAATAATAATTTAACTGTCGAGGCTAAATCCAATGCTGGTCGTGCATTAGGCTTAATTTGTCTTGTTTATAATTTCCCATTGACTGTATTAAAGGTTAGTGTCGATTGTTGGTTTTTGTAATTCATGTTTTCTATTTGGGGGTTCAGATAATCGTCTTTGTTCTTCGCCAAATACACTTTTTCTTTTACTTGATAAGTACACAATACACACTAAGTTAAATTCTTCTAAATTATCTTACATGATTATATGTCTCTTGATTTGTGTGGAAACTTTGCCTGGAGTCCTTCAAGGATTATTACTGTCTATCCTAAACCCGAATAAAGTAGGACGATTGAGCATATGGGGGTTAGCGATGACCCCATCTTGTAGAAATCCAACTCACTACAAAAAGACACTAAACAGAATGATAATTCACTGGTTGGTGGCCTACCCCTAAGTACTAGGGGTAACAGGAATAAGCAAGTAATTAAGTTTGTGATTTTTATTTAATCGTCATAATGTTCATGAAAGATTACACAGAATATGTTAGATTACATACATTGATCACTTTGGAAAATATCAATGCGACAAAGAATATTTATTGAGTGAATCTAAGACGATCGGTCACACAGGTAGACATGATGTGGTGCGAGCTACTTATAAGTAGCATATGATGCGCGACTGAAAACGTAATGTCTGGCAGCAGAAGATGGGGGGGGGAAGATCAAGAAAGCAAGAAGAGTGGGAACACAATGGAATTTGTATGAAACGCATGAATAAGTGAAATGTCAGACAGTGAATTGATGATTGATTGAAGATTTGCAAATTAACCGTTTACGATATGGCTTTCCGAATTTACTGAGTAACTCTGTAATTTTCGTTAAATACAATTCGGTTGCCCTCACCTGTGTTCTCCTTCACTACAATGAGAATGAAAAACGTATAAGCAAAGCAAAGCGAATGAGCCAACTTTAATGCGCTAAAACATGACTATGTATATTTATAGTCAGGCATTATTAGGCTAGATATGTTGTAATAAGCGAGTAAGCATGCACACATTCAATCAAATATACAGTAGTCGGTCGATACTGTTATAAGATAAAACTTAGACAACTCTAATCATTAAAGTTAGTATAATGAATGATGAGGTGCCACATGTTTCCACCCCACTACATCGAATCTTGATCGATAATATTTCGTCGATACTTTCATCCAACTACCTTTAAAGCGATTCGCACAATATTTGTTATCAGTAGAGTTGCGGTTATGCATTGCTAATGAGTTCTTTAGTACTACGACAATAAGAAAACACCTTCCAATACTTCATGGTTTTCCGACAGTTTCGTCAGTTAGTTAGTTAGTTGTTTGCATGTAATGTGCTGTTTTACTGCGTGTTCTTATGCTTGGTGATTAGCTCGTCTAGACAATCGTTACTAATTAGCGGCGTCTGACGGTTTATAAATCAGAAGGTGAACTCGAAGTGATGAAAACGTTTATTTTTGGACACACCACAAAGCGAAGCGGAGAAGCAGTGAATAAAACGAAAGAAGCGACGTGAATTGGAGAAGGCTGTTGAGTCAACAACTCCTAGGATTACAATGTGAACGAATGAGCGAAGGAAGCGAATGAATAGGCGAAGCGCGTTAGAGAAGGCTAATGCTCCAACTCAAAGAGATAGAGCATGACTAAGAATAAATAGTCATACAAATATAAGACAGACATGCGACAAGCGAAATAGGCACACATGAATAAAAGTGACGAATAGTTGACAAGGCCAAATGACAAGTGAACACGTCATGTGAGCTCATCATACAAACCAGACAGTAATAATAAGAACGAATAGTGCAACATATAAATTGTTGCAATACAAATAAATGGCTTGGTTAAATAAATTCGTCGAAAGGGCTTAACCAAATTAGTTGTAAGCGAACTGGAATATCAACATACATAAAGGAAAAAGCGAAATTCTCCGATGCAACACAACATGCACCAACCAAATCACTCTTGATGGAGATGCTTTCGAGGACGTTAACAACTTTACATATCTGGGCAGCATCATCGACGAGAAAGGTGGATCCGATGCAGATGTGAGGGCGCGGATTGGCAAAGCGAGGGCTGCATTTCTACAGTTGAAAAATGTCTGGAACTCCAAACAACTTTCAAACAAAACCAAAATCAGGATTTTCAATACAAATGTGAAGACAGTTCTACTGTATGGAGCGGAAGCGAAAGGCATCATCGAGAAGATACAAGTGTTTTTGAACAGTTGTCTACGCAAAATACTTTGTATTCGTTGGCCAGACACCATCAGCAACAACGAACTGTGGGAGAGAACAAACCAGATTCGAGTGGAGGAGGAAATCAGGAAGAAGCGGTGGAGTTGGTGGATAGGACACACACTACGAAAAGCACCTAACTGCGTCACAAGACACGCCCTCACATGGAACCCTCAAGGCAAAAGGAAAAGAGGAAGGCCAAGGAATACACTACGCCGAGAAATAGAGAAAGATATGAGAGGAATGAACAAACATTGGACAGAACTGGAGAGGGAACCCCAGGACAGAGTTGGTTGGCGAAAACTGTTGGTGGCCTAAGCTCCATTGGGGGTAACAGGTGTAAGTAAGTAAGTAAGAACTGGAATGTATATATATATATATATATATATATATATATGGAGGCACTACATGCAAAACCCACAGTTTTTTTGGCTACTTAACATAAAAAATATAAACTTGTCACTGTGGCATTGATTTTTACTCAATCCACATATCTTGCTTTCTGTTTTCTTTTTTTTTTTGCACGGATTATTTAAATCAAATTTCTTTTTTCATCCCCCTTTATTTTCCTATTAGAATTATAATTTTGGTGATAACAGCGAAGGGAATATTGCATTTTTACAGCATACAATTATGGAATTATGCACTGGTGAATATCAAAATGTTTTAGGTAAATTCATGCAATTATCAACGTATACAAGACTTTGTCGAAATTGTCGAATATTTATGCGTAAACATTTGATCAATAATAATACAACCAATGAGAAATTTGACTCAAATCTTAAAGCTATTGTCACGAAACTTGTTTCAGATATGCGTGAAACAGAAACATTTTAAGAGTTTTTGTGATTATTATTATTATTATTGCTAATTATTGTACAAAATTCTTATGTATATAAAAAATTTTTTTTCATCGCAACTCTGATGTCAGTTTTTGATGGAAGACATTTGGGCACAGATTTATTTCAAATCACGAAATCATCATCTTATCATATGTCCATTGGTGAGAGAGATCCTGATGGGAAGGAAGTCAGTCAGATACAACGTAGAATTTCGTACGTAAGTACATCATCAGTTCATGTTGCCATGTCACACATTAGCACAGAGAGATGGAATTGTCAATTCAAATCCAATAGTAGAAGAGGTAGTAAAGGTATTAGAAGTAATTGGAGAGTTTGTGATCAGAAGATATTATTCAAGAAGTGTGATTCAATGAGAAAAGTTTAGAAAGTCAAAACTAGAGGTGTTGAAGAATCCAGAAGATTAGGATTTGAGAGAACACAAAGAATAAATGCACCGGCGCCATTGCGAACGATTTTTAGCCATGTCATTCAAGGTCTCTAACCATCGATTATTATCATCTCGCGGACCCCAACCAGGTAGTCCACAACTACCGACATGGCGACTTCACCACTTCCTTGATAGGAAGTGGTAACTGGTCAAGTCCAAACTTGAGAGAGTCTTCGCGGAAATCGGAATATAATTGTAGCGGTGTATCGCAAGTTATTTAGAGTAGAAAATGTGAACTATTGTGCTCTGAATCAATGGTTCACAAAGTCCTATGTTCTGTCCCTTGAGGATAGTAGGTAGTCTCATTCTGAACTGTTCCTGATCGCATAGTTTTCAGTAATACTCCATCATGTTTTGATTCTTGTTGAGTACGTATAAGATTTAGTATCCTAATCCGTGCGAGGATTTCTATGTAGTAACTGTTTACTAAGGAACTCCAAGAACTCAGCACATGGCAAACTATTTAATAGGATCTCAGTTAAGATTCCTGTAATAAGTGTCACAAAGAAAGAAAGATTAGTCAAGTACCAATTATGATTAGCGTGACTTTGAAGTACACATTATTAATGTTTCGTAACCCGTTAATGGATGACAGTTCTCACAGAGTAGTCGTTTGGTCTTCATATTGCCTAGGTAGACAGCCTAGCAGTTTTGCTGTAGTCTAGTCTTGTGTGCAATCAAATATATCGTTCGGAATATTATTGTCGCCTTTCTTTTTATCCATACGGTTGGTGTGGGCATCCGGGACGTGACAACCGCCGTCATCCCCGTAACAGCACACGAGACCAAATTGATCGAAATCAAATCCTTCCTACACCCACTCATACCTCTCTTCTCTCCACAACTAACGCTACTCACATTCCCTTATCTGACTGCACCGCTAATGCAAAACGATGCGAGTTCACGAAACGTCATTTCTGGTATCTTGAAACATCGTTCTAGACTACATGTTGGAGCTTTTAATGTATGGACATTGTGACAATAATAATCAATGATTAGACACCTTGAATGACATGGGTCAAAACCGTTTGCGATGGCGCCGATGCATTTATTCTTTGTATCCTCTCAAATCCTAATCTTCTGGATTCTTCAACACCTCTACTTTTGTATTTCTAAACTTATCTCACTGAATCATACTTCTTGAATAATATCTTCTAATCACAAACTCTCCAATTACTTCTGATAACTTTACTACCTCTTCTAATATTGGATTTGAATTGACAATTATATCTCTGTGCTAATGTGGTGTGGCAACATGAACTGATGTACTTATGTACGAAGTTCTACGTTGCATCTGACTGACTGACTGATACGGTCGACTTGCGTCTTTCGAGTAAGACTTTGAGGAGCTTTTCAACAGTGTTTAGTAATCATAAATAGGTTTCTGATTTGTGAAGTTTCTTTCTGTAATATTTTTAATTACATCCTACGTAATCGCATAACTGACATACATCTGTTCGTAGATATCGTTCGTGCAGCTAACATTAAATTAATTTTGATATGACAGTGATATTTGAAGAAATGTCCGATGTCGACGAATGGCAACTTCTCTTACTGCTATCAGTTTAATATTGATGTATTGTCAGACAACTTGTTACAAGAGGCATGCCAATTTACAGGCGAGGTCATAATAGGTAATTCATTTTCTGTCAAAGGTTGTTTAGTTAGATGAATAAGATACACTGTCTTTTTAGAAAGGGCTATTATTTTTCACATAAGACTGTAGATAATGTTTCAAACTCTGAAATGTACAGCAAAAGACTGGGCGCGAGTTACAACTGTTGCTTTGCGACTAACCACTTCTGGTTGAAAATCAATAAAAGTTAAATCCAGGTATGTACTTAGCAGGAAGTGATAATGTAAATGTGTAGTGATTTCGTGTTGAGATCCTCTAGATAATAATTTGACAGGCCTTTGGGTAAAGCAACCAACTCTTCTCCAATATCAAGGCTATTATTTAAGACAGAATGTGGTGCTGAAAAACAGGAAGAAGGAGAAAGGTCGAGATATTAAACAGAAAGTTTTCTTGTCTAAAGCTGAGTCATCACTCAGGCATGATTAATCAGACCTTTATTTTTCTGTGTTCGAACACTAACGTTACACTTGAACTTATGTAGGTTGATGAAGACAAGTTACTAGTAAGATAACGAATGGGCAAATAATCTTATCAATAGAGCAGTTTAAAAAGAACCAAAGCGTTAGATGTTACGTTGATCTGTATCACATAATAACAAGAGCAAAGTGATCTAAAGCTTTGTTGACATGGGCAGATCGAGCTTGTCGCCTCACTGTCATGAATACTTTGGTCAGATACATCGTCTTTCTGTTTAGTCAAGAGTATGTTTACATCCTAACAGTCTCCATCTGAAGCTTCTTTGGACATTTTCTACTGATATTTTGTCTATGATATTCCAATTTGAAAAGATAAGCGATAAGTATTCAAGAGAGAGCTTTATACATATTTCGAAAAGTGTAAGCTTAGCCTCATTTGTCAAGAAGTTCTTATCTATGAACCCATATGCCATCTAGATGTCGAAGAATAGAACTGATACTAGAAGCCTTTGTCTTGTTTTTGAGTAGTATCATTGTGGGGATGATACATGTAGACTTCCAGGTATTAGGGTAACACTCTGTAGAGAGTTTAATCGTAAATAGCTTAAAAAGTAAAGCACAAAGATCAATGTTCCCATTTTTTAGCGTACTGACGATTCATTATTCAGCTCGACTGCACGTCTTTCCTGTGCAATCATCTTTTTCATACGTATTACCTACGCCTCGACAAATATTTATGTCATCTTAAGTAAACAGGAGAAGTCAACATACTAAGACTACCTTCAAAATATCAAAATGTTTTACTGGACAGTATTTTAGGTCTTTTATTTTACTACCCTGCTTTGTAAATAGTCTTTTACCCACGACTCTTTAAACGGTCTTTACATTCATCAGACTACTTTGTCTGAATATTTTGACTTCAGTTAAAAAATTACCTTTCCTATCTAATTTTATTGTTGTATGATGACGAATATATGAGTGATCCTGTAGCATCTAACATTTATGTTACTCATCCTAGTTTTGGTATGCCAAATAACTCAAACTGTGTGTGACTGATAGGTCGTTTTACAATCCTATCAGCTTGATCTTTTTGATAGAAAACTGTAACCTTCTGCGCACACGTTATAGGTTCGTGCTCTAAGTCATACTGTAAGCGCCTGAGTAAAAATGTTGCGGGTGTCTCGACAGAATAGCGACCTCAGCATAGTTTTAGAAACATGAACCACAAAAGCAGCAAGCGTATAAGAGCAACCTCAGTGTTACTGATTAGTCGTGTCATCAATGTAAAGAGCCGGTGAGCTAACTGAGCCTAGCCGGTCGTTAATAAATATCAGGAAGAGGATTGGGCCTAGTATGGTCCCCTGTGAAACTCCCGTTGTGGATACTCGCCAACTTGCGTGCACTCTGTTTACCTTGGTGCGAAACTTTCTATGCTCTAGGTAGTTTCTGAGCCAAGATACGAGTGGGTCAGTGAAGCCCATTTCTACAAACTTTTCGATTAGGCGTGCATGGGGCACTGTGTCAAAGGCCTTTTCAAAGTCGAGGAATATTACGTGTACCGGTATTTTACGGTCTAAACAGGATGTCCAACTGTCCCATGCGATGAGAAGATTAGATGCACACGACCGGCTTTTCCGAAACCCATGTTGAGCATCATGGAGTATTTTATTCTTATCCATGTACTCCCTCATTTGTTCGTCCACTAGCCCTTTCATAACCTTCGATAATATTGGTAGTAGTGCGACTGGTCTGTAACAGGCTGGGTCCTATCTATCTCCTCCTTTGAAGATTGGAGAGAGAGTAGCTTGTTTACATTCAGCTGGGAATTTGTGTGACTCCAGTGAATGCCTGAACAGATCGCATATCGGTGAACAGAGGACTTCAGCACATAGTTTTACAGTGTCATAACCTCTTGACTTACTTGGGTGTAAGGATTTTAGTTTCCTTAGTACTGAGTCAGAAGTGATACAGATGTTCCCTAAGCCGTCAGCTGGCAATGGGTTGGCGTAGGACTCTGAACATGTAAGCGCCTGGTTTAATTGATCAGCAAAAGTTGTGTTGAAGATCTCGGCTATCTCTAGGTTGGTTATATCTTCCCCGTTTGGTCCTTTCAAAGAACACAATCCTTGATTAGTAGGCTTTCTTTTCAACATGAACCTAAACAGATTTTTCGGGTTTGCCTCTACTTTGGCGGCTAGCTTCGTCTGGAATTGTCTCCTGTCACTTCGGACTTTAGTATTGCATCTGTTTCTCAATGCCAAATAAGAACTGCGATCGGAATCCTTCAAGGAGACCTTCCACTTGCGCCAGGCTCTCCTCTTCGCCTACAGCAAGCGTTCAGTGCCGCGCCTAACCCAGGTTCTTCTATTCCCGCGTATGTGGTGTGACTGAGGTACATTGTCTACGACAGCATTCTGGATGATATCTCTCACTGCTTGCCAGTGATCATCTACTGTCAGCCTCCACCACTCCAGTGACCATGGGGCATGTAGTAG